ATATTGGGAATCCTGTGTATTCGATTATTCGAGTTATCGAATAATTTGGCATGCCGAATATTCGAGTATTCTAACAAGTGCATTTCTCGAATATCCGACCACTCGAATGGCAAACAATCGAATTATTCGTATAATTCAATCAAACATATATACTTATTCTCAATCATATTCGATGATCACAGATATTCGATCGAACAAATAATCGATGATTTCATACACATTTGAACGATCGAATTATTCGCTCAGTTCCAAAACCATTCGAGCTCGAGTATACGAATGTCGATGTTCCAAAATATCCGCCTATTCGAATAATCGAGTAAATGAATTCTCTCGAATGTTCGGCTATTCAAAAAAGCGAACAAATGTGCTTTTTCGAATATTCGAGCTATTCAAAATTTTCGAATATTCATTCAAATACGAATAATCGGTCCCAACTATAGACATAATCTTCTGAAGGCTATTCTAACCTGCTCCATTACGAATTCTGTCCCAGAAACGCGCGCCGCGGCCAATCCGAAGCAGCCTCGGCCACCAAACCTAGGCCTCAATTGGGTGCAGTATTTTTGGCTTTACGTCCTTTTTCTGTTAGCTTTGTGCACAGCTAATTATAGAGAGCACGGAAATGGACCTGTAGTTTGTTATAAGCGTAGTTTAGGCTGGAAATAGCGCTGAGTACTTTCATAGTCCAGATCATTCGCTATTGTAATCATTTTGCTTATTGCGTCTGCTCCTCTGTTTTCTTGTTGATTTCGCATCTTACGTAAACTTTTTCATTCTACTCGTTGGTTTTCGTGCTGTAGTCTAAGTTGACAGTGTTTTAATGAACTTTTGAGGGAATTTCTTTTGTATAGCAGGGAAGAATTCTTTGTCAATTCTGAAGGAGACATGGATAATAAAGTTCCAGGAAAAAAACCACCAAAAGTGGATTTCAACGAGCTTTCGAAAACCATGAATAATCTTGAGGAAAGCTTTGGAGTTAAAATCGGCTTTTCGAAGCATTACATGTGCCATTAGTTTGCGGCTTGAGGCGCCGATCTCAATTCCGCTCTCTATCTGCGAGTTGAATCTATGGAAGAAGAAATTATGGGCCTTCTTCTAGCACGTTTCGCCCATTGAAATGCAGACTACTACGCGATAAACATAGCCTAGAGGCTATTTTCTTTTTTTAGGATAATACCTGAGCTTCTCGTATTAAATTGCATGTTATAGAACTTTTGATTGCTATCTGACGCAAAACTTACCAGCTCAGAAGTTTCTGCATGTTCCTTCTCATTTGTCAGACGTTTCGTCATTATGTTTAGTAAAATATTAGCTTCAGATAACTGCCGCCAAGCAGACGTTTGCTTTTATGAATTGTTGGTACAATGGCACTACCGCCATCATATCATGAAGGTAGTCAAACTGTCTCTGAACCTTTTTCGTATTGTATGGCAGTATCCTAATTTTTCTAAAATATTTTGAGAAATTTTAGGTGTTTCATGTGATGGATGTCTAAGCGGGAATTTTTCCGGAAACAGATACAAATGTCTTCGATGTTACGATTTTGACTTATGCCAGTCCTGTTACCTAAATAATCGGTTCCGACCAGAAGGTACAGACACATCCCTGTCACACTCTGAGGATCATCCCGTGCAGATGATTATGACTCAACGAGATTTCGGTGAGATTTTCATTATTTTTTCTTTCTTTAAATTCATTGTCTTCTTGATGCGAATTCTTAGTTTTTGCTATCTCCAGATGCAGTCTATGAAGGTGACAGTTCGAAAAACTATGACGCTTGCCGAATAGCGTCGTTCACCTGCCCCTATTGTGGATCAAATGGCTTCAGCCTTCGCAGCTTTGCCAGCCATATCTTGAGCGTGCACGCTGAACCGCCGGTGCCACGCGTCAATGTGGTTGGTCCATTCATTCGTTGCACTTTATGGCTCTTATGATTCATCTTATGATTTTTTTTT